GCCCGGCGGAGCCGCAGGGGCCAAAATCTAAAAATTTATTCGATGAGCTCCTTCCCGTTTCCCATTTCATGCAATTTTTTAATTATTACGTTCACTGTCTTTTTCTATGCAGATTAGCTGAAGAAAGAATTTCAGTCGGGAAGGAAGACCGACGGAGCTGCCGCACTCGAATGATCCCCCACCGGTAGGTTCGATTTTTGTTATTTTTCGGCCAACCAAGGCCCCAGAACGTGTTTTTATGTAGGGATACATGTAAAATCAGCTAAAATTGGCTAAAACCAACCAGATTGAGGTGAACCACCGTTGTGGACGGTAGAGCTAACACCGTGTCGGAATTCTAAAATTGGCCGAAAAGAGTTTTGGGCACCGATTTTTGATTTTGGGGGTATTTTTAGGTACGTGACAAGTATTTTGGATTCCACAGGAAAAATTCAGGAAACCTAGTACTGGTAAGGAGGTGTAGTAGATGGTGCGACATCTCGAAACACCGATCCGGGTAAGGATCCCTCATCTTATTCTCCGTTACAGTAAATTGAGACTTAACAGTATATAATTTTGTGTTTTTGTAAAAAGTTAGAAAATCCTAAAAGTAATTACAAGGCACTAGTAAAGCCGAAAATAATTAGTTTATAATGGTCCTAATTTTCTGTTTATTTTCTTGTATTGTTCTACTTAGTTGTTATCATATTGTGTATATTTTTAATTTACAGTTTCAATGGTCTCATCGATTTATCTAGTTTATTTGGTTATCTGGTTACTTGATCCCTTGTTATGATAAATTACATCGTTTACATGACTATAGTATAATTGATATGTAAATATGAAATGAGATTTTGGTATGCATTTATTAGTTGTTTTTCTTGATGGGAACCTTTATGTGAAAGACTTACTGGGTACCTAGGAAAAGGGCAGACGAGCCTGGTATATATGGAACCCTACTGTGAATGTCACCTCAGTCGGACGGAGCTGGAAAGTCTCATACTAGAAAGGTTTGGGAGATATAGTTTACCCTCATATCGGACATGGTATCGAGATAATGAAATATTTGGCATCCATTACCAGACGGAGTATGGGGACAATTGATTAATTATTAAAATTTGATATTGAGTTCACGAGTAGGGGGACATCCTTGTGAAACCCCAGAGGTACCAGTAAGCAAGTAAGAAAGAAAAATTGTCGTCACTTGTTCTCTTATGTACGAAATAAAAAGTGGTATAGATATGGGTCTTCATAGGTTATTTTTTAGAAAACTCATAACAGTATGTATCTTACAAATGTCTTTATGTTAAATGTATTTAATTAAAGTAAAGGCTCCATTAGTTATTTTTCTGATTTTTATCAATATTCAGTTTTCAGTATCTGTGATTAGTGTGATATTCTTATTGGGTTAGTGTAGCTCACCCTTTTATTAACCATTTTAGATCAAGAAGACCAAGATCCCAATCCCAATCAACAAGAGAGTTGTGAGTTAGTTCACCACCCAAACTCTCTTTAAATACTAGTGAAAGTTGTCATAAGATGCTTATTTATTTGATTTTCTTTAATTATCGTTTGTCTTTTAGAATGGACATTCTCATAGCCCTATTGGACATTCTAAATTATTGTGGAAGGAATGTAAACCCTAAGTCTATTATTTGCTT